TGGGGGAAAAAAAGGGGGTTAAAAAAAAAGGTCTCAAGTAGTCTGGCTGATGCAGGTCGAAGCCAAAATTAAGGAAAAGAAGAGCATCGACATGCGAGTTGAGATGTGTGATAAGCACGGCGGCGGCTAGTTTGGGGAGAGTTGACTCGGGAGGAAAAAGCAAAAAGGGGGTTTAAGCAAAAAAGAAAAGAAGAAGCAGTAAAATCAATAAATAAATACAGTCGAAGCGAGAAGGAAAGGCGTTAGAAGGGATTGAAGCTGAAGAAGAGGCAGAGGCAGATAAAGAGAGGGGGGAAAAAAAGGAAAAGGAGATGAAATTGGATGGGATTGAAAGAGGCTAGATGGATGATTTGATACCCACTGTTAAGAAGGACACGATGAACTAGCGGGTGAAAAAAGGGGGGGACGCGAGGAGAGAAAAGAGACCTATAATAATAAAATGTGGATGCTGGTAGAGAAGGACATATGGAATGTGCTTAGTGTGGATGTATGTAGGGATGTGCGGGTGGATGGATGGATGCGCGACTGGGGGTGTTAAAATGGTGTTGAGAGGCCTCTCTCTCTCTATGCTGTTGTTTCATGATATGAGTTTTGTGAAGGAGAGAAAAGAAAGAAAGAAAGAAATAGTAGTAGAAGTAGAAGTATGGAGTGCTTGGAAAAAGAAGGTCATGTCGTTAAGTTACCACGAAGTCTCAATGGGGTTGGCATGGGCCTCAGAGCTGCTGGCTTCGCTCGTGGACTCGGCCATGCCCTTACTGCGCTTCTCCTTCTTGCGGTTGGAAACGGTAGTCCATTCGTTCTCGCTGCTGAGAGAGTTGAGCATTCTCATCTGCTCCTCTTCTGATGGCAAGTCCTTGGTCCACGGTTTTCTCTCCCCGCCAGCTTGTGTAGGAGTGGGTTGTGCGGGAGCTGGCTCGAAGGTGTCAAGCAATGGCATGCCAGATGACGGCTTGGTGGATGTACCGTTGCTGGTGGTGTTGCCATTGGTAGTAGGCGTAAGGTTAGAGCTGGACGCCCATGCGTTTGCAGATGGAGGAGACACGGTTGACTTTGCCTGTTGCCTCTCGTATTCCCGGGCTGTATGCATCTGGTTCTCGACCATTGCACGCCTTGCCTTCTCTGCTTGCTTGACCATCTCGTTCTTCTCTTCGCGCTTACGGCGGGCCTGGCGTTGCTTCTTAGTCTCTACAGACTTGAAGCTGTTTTGCTGTTTCTTCTTCTTGCCCTGCTGGACGTCTTCCATGTCACCAGTCAGGCGGAGGACGGATGCGGCGGGGGCCGGCTCCTCGAGCATGTCAGTGACATCACCGGCGGGCTTGACGCGGGGAGGATTGATTGGTGACATGTCGTCGTCTGCATCTGCGCCGGTAGTGGAGGAAGCAGCAGTAGAGACGTGGTTAACGTGAGAGTCACCGTTAGTCTGTGGCTGTTGCTCCTGTTGCTGCCTCTCCTGCTGCGTAGCCTGTTTCTTTGGCTTCTTGCTGGTGCTGGGTTTAGGCTTAGCAGCAAGAGGAGTGCCGTTTCTTGCTTTGGAGAATTGTTTGGCAAATTCATAGTTGTCGTCCATGCCTCCATTGCTAGTCGATATCGACTCTTCGGCTTCGACAGCTCGCTGCTCCTTTTTGGTTTCCGGCACAGCGGCTGGTGCGTTGACACCATTGCTAGCCTCGCTGGAGTGATTTCTGCTGCTGTTGGTTTCCGGCGGGGGGCTCTTGCGCTGCTTGGTGCGTTGCTTTGCCTTCTCCTTCTTGCTCCCTGCCGGGCCACTCTCTTGCCTCTCGCTCGGCTTTAGAGAGGCAGGCCGTGACCTGGCCGTCGAGCCATTATTCTTGTAGTAGTAGCCCAATCCACCTGCGGTAAGGAGCAGGATGGCCCAGCTCATGTACGGGTTCATGATTGCGCCACAGGCCGAATATATATTATAGACAGTAACACCTTGAGCGTTGTTGCAGTTGATTGTCCCGAGGCGACTTGACGCAAACGCCGAGCGGTCAGGAGGAAGGGCGGACGAACGCCAGGCGGTTCAGGGGGTGTGCTGAGTGGTCGAGTCGAGCAGTCCGGCGGCAGCTAGACGAGCACGAGCAGGCTGGAGGAGGACCGGCAGACAGAGACGCTCAAGATGGAGTGGTAAGTGGTCGATGGATGGTCGGGTCGGGTCTTTAGAGGGGAGGATGCGAAGGTGGCTTGTTCTGCGAGCACAAGGTCAGACGGGGCGCACAGCAAGGATCACACCGGGCTGGGCTGCTCTTGGTACTCACCACGAAGACACTCATCTCTTTGCAAGCGGCGATGTCGTGGGTGTTATTCGGTGGCTCTTGTCTCTTCTCTCTCTCTCTCTCTTGCCGTGGGACGTCTGTTGGTGTAGACTGTGTTCGTGGTGGTGGTGGCGATGGTGGTTGTGCGGTGGTTTTGGCGGGCGATGTGTCTGACGATGCGATCGATGATGGAAGAGGCGGACGAAGTTTGACCACAAGAAAAAAAAAAAAGCTACCAGCAGCACAAGAGGCTAACTAAGACGGCGGCGCACCGCCAACCCAACGAACGACACAGGCCCTCGACGGGGGAGAATAAAATGAGATGAAACAGACGGAAGAACGCGCGAGGCTCTAGACACGGTCCGCTTTGTCAAAGGTGAAACGATGAGGACGCAGGAACAGCGTCAGCCGCTTTAACTATATAGCTATTAATTATATATGCGATCTCGAATGGAAAAAAGAGGCCAGGCTGGCCAGGTCTTCGGTCCCCTGGGTTACTGTTCAATATCGGCCTGCATACTTCGCATCCTTGGTCTTCTTGGGTGCTCTCCTCTCACGCGGTTTTACGGGGTCTTCGGTCCTCGTTGCGTGGCCGAATCTCGCCGTCGTGGTACAGGGGAGATAACTACAGAGCAGACAACACATTGACATCTACGGAGTATGTACATCCATCAGTTATATACTCCAGAAGGAAGATGCAAGTAATAATGGCTGGCTTGCGTGTTTGAAATGCGCGACAGGGGACGTTTCACCCTGAGGTCCAGCGGATGGCTCGTATCTGCCTTTCCGAAGGGAAGAGGCGGTTCTCCTTTTTCCACCCCTTTATCGATGGAGGGTCAAAAGGAGCCAACATTTTAATTATTATTATTATTTACTCTACGGAAGGTAACATGAAATAAACACTGGCTAGTGCGTTCTACACGTGGTGTTTCCCCTTATCCTTGCTGCTGGTTTCGCTTAATAGCCGCTGATAATGATTCTAGGCCCAAGTTAACTAGCCAACTAGTTATCTTTCGTTAGTTACCTGCGTTGCTTGAAGGGAGGCATGACTGCAGGGCCGCGCCTTCAGCAACATCGAGCAGTTAACTAGCTGGTTTGCAAGATGTTCAAAGATGCAAAACAGAAGACGCAGAAGAAGAGAGGGGAGGGAAAACATGGCAAGAGAGCGACTGTCCACTTACATGACATGAAGACGGCAAGATGTGGTATTCGGTCCAGAGCATAGTATGCTTGATGTACTGCATCGTCCAAGTGACGGCTTGGTCGATTCCTCTACGATACCTTGGTGTGCATACAACTCTCAGAGAGCCCATTGCTGGCCGATCTGCGTCTGAAGAGACCATCACACAGGGTGCTCCGCCCTTTCAGCCGCCAGGCATTACCGATAATGTGAGAAGCGCAGAGACCACTAGCTACAAGGATACAATGAACGGAGTCACCCTTGAGCGACTACTGGCAGATCTTGAGACGTGCGTTGAAGACCTTGTCCCTTACTCACCGGAAGTACCACCAAATGATATCGTTCAAATCAGTGGATCGAAGATGAGGTCCTGCAGACAGGCGATTTTCACCCTCATACGATGGTACAGACAGTCAAACCCTTCCACCAGAAAGTCGTCGACAGAAACCCAAAATGAGCGTCGAGACGATCAAAAGTCTCGGTTTAATCTCGTCAAGCCCGGGGACAACACGGATCCCAGACAGACCGGAAATCTTCAGACAACTGCCACAGGCAAAGTTCGACCGACTCAGACTTCTACTAGACCGTTGACTTGTCGTGAGCTCGCGTGTCCATCCGGTGATCTTGCTGCGACTTGTGTGACCAAGCCAGGCATCAAGCTGAAGCCTACACTGGCCCAGATGTGCAGGATGTGTTTCCCACGCAGAGACGAGAGGCTAATTGACGAGCACTGCGCTGATGAGTCCAAGAAGGAGTGGAACATCTTCTATATCCTCTTCGCTGTACTGATCTCCATTTCCACTGCTGGATTCACCCTGGCTATAGTTCGCAGATTAAGGGAGAAAGCACAAACTTCGCAAAATACAGCGTCCGAGGTCCTTCCGACAAAGCGGTTTGTCGACTCAGGTTCAACCTTCACCAACACATCACCAGCCGAACCAATGTCTAGACGAGTTGTGTCATGGCTCAGGGGGGTGGTTACGTATGTCCGGGATTCGAGAGCACGAGTAGACGTAGAAGAGCACCCGGAACTTGGTGTGGCAGCCGCTAACTCACTGATTCCAACATTTGTGAACCAGGTCAATCCAAATCGCCCGCATCCCTTTCAAGTATCCGGCGCCGAAACCTGCGAGAGGCAGACTGGACTGAAGCTCAGGAAGAGCTGTGATTCTAGCCTTGATGTGCCTGGTAAAGAGGGATCTCCACGGGCACGAAGCTCAAGTGTACAAGCTACTCCAGATGCTGTGAACGAACCATAGCGTTTCAGCGTCGATATGGATATTCACCGACCTCATACTGCGCGGTAGACAAGGATAAAGCAATGGATAGGAGGGAATATTATTAGATTCGTTTGTTTGTAGCCTGGTATTGATAGTTAAAGGGAACGGGGAAAAAATTGGGTTGCCACAGAAAATAGCATTGGCAGAGTTAATCGTCTTTTTTTGTTCGTTTGCATGACATTTGAGTCCTTTCAAAGTGTAACCACGAAACAGTAGTAAAATGGGAATAGCCTCCTTGCATAACACCTGAGACAGTTCCATCGAAAACAAAAAAAGGGGGGGAAATCATCCATTCAGGCAGTTGACGAAGGGCAGACCGATAGCATCCTTGATTTCCTTCATTGCCTGCACAACCATCTCGTCCTGCATCTTCTTACCAACTAGTTGAAGACATACAGGAGCCGAGGCTTGAATCACAGGGTCATAGTTATCTTGATACAGAGCGTCGTCATCATTTCTAGGCGTATATCCTGTCTCCTTGGTGTCCAGTTGTGCATTGATCCTTGTAACTGGGAATACAATGGCTGGGTAATCGAGAATATTCCAGATCGATGTATAACCCCAGTACCGAGATGTGGAGAGAACAGGCGCAACATTGGGGTGGGCGGGGCATAGAATCACGTCCATGTCAGGTTCGAGCTTGTTCCATTCTATATATTTGAGATGAGGTTAATAATAGGTTAGTTTGACATCAAGATATGCAGAGAAAGAGTAAGGATGAGATGTGGAATCAGATTCGGGATGTTCGGGTATGTAGGTATGTAGTTTATACTCAGACGTACCGGTCAAGTAATTGAAGCGGTATGCCTCACGTCTCTTCAATAGGTTCCATAGAGCAGGGAGATCGTGGGCTTTGACGGCAGGACTCTCTTTCGCAACCCAGTTTGCAAGCTGGAGAGCAGATTCTCCACCCTCCTGGAGAAGGGCTTCGTATGATTTTCCACCGTCAGGAGAATAGAGGCCTGCCTATAAGTCGGAACAATCGAAATATGGTCAGTTCTCCGGATGAAAAGTCGGGATGTATGAGATCTGGATAGGCTACTTACGAGGATCTCCATTGCCTCATCGTGGTGGAATGGTTTCCATTCAACAACCTCGACACCGGGAACTAACTTGAGCTTCGCCACAACTTCATGCAGGGCTCTAGTTACCGGTGGGAGAGGCTTTACAATACCGTCGTCCCACATAACGCCGACCCTGAACTTCTTTTCTCCTTTCGGGTTAATACACTGGGCATGTTCTCGCCAGTGCATCTGATGCAGGCTTGGGTCTTTGCGCCAAGGCTCAGCGTCAAGGATAACTTTCATCATGAGGTCGATGCCTTCAAATGTTGGGCATAGTGGGCCGGCTGTTCCCCAGATTGTCTCCACGCCGATGTTGTAGGCAGTCCATCCGGTGAGAGGGATTCGGTGCGTGGTGGGTTTGAACCCGTATAGGCCGCAGTTTGATGCTGGCGAGCGGATACTGCCTCCTATAGATTACATAGATGTGAGCGTTGGGGCCAAACTAACTAGCTATTGCCAAGGACGGAGCGGATTTCGGTCGTTCATAAGAGCAGACTTACCCATGTCCGTGCCAATGCCGAGTGGGCTGCCGTAAAGTGCCTGCAGAGCAGATTCACCACCAGACGAACCGCCAGGGGTCAGAGCAATGTTGTGGGGATTCACTGTCTCGCCGGTGACATTGCTTTTTGTCTCCAACATCAACTAAGTAATATCGAACGCAAGATTAGATCGTAGAAGTTGGAAAAAAAAATTACAATGTGGTCGGGGTTCTATGGAATATGCACCCACCAGCGCTTGTGGTTCTGTTGTTCTCACGTATTCGACTGCTCCAGCTGCAATCAGAATCTTGAGAAGCTCGGCATCATCGGGAGATGGGCGTCCTGCCCAGGCAACAAAGCCAGAGCTGGTGTCGCATCCCTTGACGCCCATATGAGCCTTCACACTGACAGGAAGGCCATGGAGGGGACCAATTGGCTTCTTGTGCTTTGCGAAATATTCATCCAGTTCCTTCGCCCGTGCAAGTGCTCGCTCTGGCAGAAGTTCATGAACGCAGTTGACCTAGATGACATAACTAAGTCAGGATGGTTCTTGTTTGCCTTTATTCCTGCTACACTTCTGATTAACCGACTACTCTAACTCACCAGTTTCTGTGCAATGACCGCTCGGCGGAGAAAAGCCTTGGTAACTGCGGTTGCAGTGAGGGTTCCCTGTGCAAGAGAAGCGAGCAGTGACTGAGCGGATGATTCAGTAATGCCAATATCTTCCTGCGAGAGACACTGTCTTGGTATGTCTGTCACATTCCCGGACAACTTCTCTGGGATTCGGGATAGATCAACGTCCACCTTGGAGAGTGCCTCTTCGCGGCGAGCTTGGAAGCGTGCAAGACTTTCCTGTGCTTGCGTCATGCTTTCCGCCTTATTTATATAACTTTTTCAAATCGTTGCAGAGGACGTATTGCACACGAAAAGGAAGATCGAGATAGAGTCTACCTCGATGACCGAATGAAATTGTGCTCCGATGTCATGCTCTCTAGCCACCAAGGCCAGAACTTATATACCGTCGGTAGCAACAAGGCCACGTAGGATCCTACGTCTCACCCTGAGGTATTTTGGATGGTTCCGTGTCCGTTGTAACGCAAAGGGAGGGCAAGCAGCAGGCTAAAACCGATGGCTGCGTCCACAATTCGCTACAAGTAGAGGTCGGCAGTCTAACTTGGATACCAAATACCGAATAGAATCCCAGGTTTATGGGGTTAAAAAATTGGAGTCAAGATAAGAGGATCGCCAAGCGCAAGGGTGATCCTCTGTAGGCGGACCAATCCGGCGTTGCTGCAAGTTGAATGAAGCCAGGCAGGGATGTTTCGGGGATGCAGAGAACCGTCGCTACCCCAGTCAGGCCTATCCTTATGGACCCTTTGGCTGCATACTTAGTTTTTATGCCGGAGTGTAGAGGGCCATGGCGTGGGGCGCGGGTTCGCAAAGGACATCCGTTCCTGGCGCGGGAAGAGAGGAAGGTCCCGCCCCCTTGCGACCCACTAGAAAGGGTATGCTATCAGCCTGCCCGTGTATCAACATCCGTCCGCATACCATGTAATACTATTACATACATAGGTACTGACCGGGTTCGGGAGAGATACTCTGGGCGAGAATCCATACTATGCATAGAGCTCGGTTAAGATTATGATAGTTGCCGAGCCCACCGCATGACTCGAGTTAGCCATCTGCCATACCGGACCCGCTAGAAGAGCCCCATCGTGGCCGCTGATGCCTCGTCGTCGCTTTTTTTTATTTTTTTTTTATTTTTATTTTTATTTTTATTTTTTGATAACGTTGCAGAAGAACAACGGACAGGGAAGAAGACTAAAGAGGCAACTGGGCAGCAAGTGGAGATTCACGTGATTACCTTAAGCCGACGTCCCGAAAGAATTCTAAAACTACCTACCTATATAAAATTTTAATGAGAAGAGTGGAATTTGTATATCAACGTTCCAAAACAACAAAAGCCTTCCATCAAGGAGTAGCTGGTCTGCTTCTCGGAAGCTATGACAGGGAAGAAATAAGGAAGCGAAGGACACAAACTAAAATAAGGTCTGGAATGAAGAAGAAAAGAACCAAAGGAAAGCAAAAGAAAAAATGACAAGAACCAGAAAAAAGAAATCATCATGTCTCCATGGCATATCCACTATGATCTAAATTATACCCTCCTTCGGCTTTTTTGCAGCTCTGGACCCTGCTCTTCCTGTTCATGCCAACACTCGCGTCTGCCCCTTCATGCCACCCCCAAGCTCCTGTGGCGCTGTCTCCAAACAGAGCGGCGGCTGTACCGCTGGCACATAGTTGACTAGTGTACTGAGGTACTGCACTGAGAAATCCGACCATGCGTCAAGAAGGTCAGAGCGGAACTTGCTTCCCTGAATAGACTTTCCAACATGAAGACGGATCAGGTCTCCCGACTTAGCCAACGTGCCCCGCGGGCCCGAAAGTTGAACAATTAGCTTTGAGAGGTCTTCTGGGTTTGGGCTAAATCGGAATTCGTCTGGGTAGAACCTAGAGGCTTCTACTACACTAGAATTTGAGATAACGGTAGTGACGCCGTTGAGAGCTGCCTCCAGCGGGGTGATGCCAAGAGTCTCGTAGCGGGATGGACAGATGAAGATGCCGGTGTGTCTTGCAACAGCGAATAGACTGTACAAGGCAGATCTCGAGACCTTGGGGACCAGCAGGAACAGGTGCTGGTACTGGGGTGGAACCTTGTCCATGAGTGCCCTGTGCTCCATGCTATCTGGCTGCTCTCCCCCAGCCACAAAGACCCTGAGAGGGATACCCCGAGTGCAAAGGAGGATTGCCGCGTCAACAAGCAGATCTATGTTTTTAAAGTAATCGAGGCGGGCAACTGCCGTGAACATCACTACCCCATCAAAGTTAAACCACTCTGTAATGTTTTCGGGGAGCTCGTCTTTGGTTTCTTCTGTTTCAGTCAAAAGCTCGATCGGCGGGCAAAGCTCACGTAAGGCGGTGACGCCCCTGGAGGCAAGGAAATTGCCTTGAAGCTGTGAATGTTGGAGGACAAATGCATTCTCTCGGCTCTTGATAATTTCAATTCCCTTGTCTTGTTGCCGTTCCAGGTGCTCTGCCTTTTCCATGCTTCCAAACGCCAGCGCTGCAGCCTCCTTGGAGAAAATGGTTGCAAAGCTTCCAAAAAAGGGGCCGTGGTGTGTGACACATGAAGGGATGTGACGAGGATGGTACTCCATCAGAGTATCGGTCTGATAGTATAGCATGGGGGTTCCTTCCATTGGGTTGGTAACCTTGAGGATTTTGATGCAGTTCAGAAGGGCATTGGCGACCTTGCTTGGATCCATGTGGAAATTGAAAGATACTGTCACAGTAGAAATTGAGCTAAAGGCCTCGCTGGAGATGTAGGGATCCACGATATCCTCGTCCCTCTGATACAGAATCATTCCCAGGAAGATTCCTCTCTCCACGAATGCCTGGACGACCGAGGCAGCGAACGCAGCGGCTCCGACCTTGGCAGCAGCGCTGTTGCCGGTGATCAGGTATCGCCTGTTGAGAACAACTATGGCAGGAAGTAACGGTTTATAGTCTTCTGCCATGGCTGAAGACTGGATATCTGGGTTGGGGGGTGTAGAGTCAAGGATGAGAGGCATATTGAAAACGAAATATATATATGGAATCACTCTATGTCAATATCCGGCTTGGTATGAATATTCCAAGGTTGGTGGTAATTATGATGATGATGATGATGGAGGGAATGACTCGCCTTCCTTTATGATGATGTCGAGCGGCATTTATATATTTTAGCCATGTATATGTGTCAGCGTATATAAGAGGAACATCCCACGTAGGGAGTATACGGCAAAACTAGCCATCACCAATTCTCCCCGCCACTGATTTTATTTCACCGCCCGGCTATCCCAATCCTACCCCCATTCTGTTAGAGACGGCCGAAAACAAGCAGCTGGCGATCCTTAGAGTTGACCGGCAATCTCGGGGTATCGCTTCTTCTTGGTATTGTTAAAGTTGATGATGATGCGAAGCTTATCCATGGGATTACGACGAGTGGCATCCATAGATCAGCCCTCTTATCGTTGTCTGTCATTTTGTCATGCCGCTCGTCTTATCCATGTCAGAGGTAACAGGTATACATATGTGTGTATCCTCTCGAGTTCTAGATTAAGGGACGTAAAAATAAAGTGAGGAATAGCGGGCAGATCATTGTGTCATCTGCATAACGCTATTTTGAGACATTGATCAGCCTGAGGATCTATTGATAGGCAAATGCAGCTCAAACAAGAGTCACCCCTGAACTAAGCATTGCTCAATCCAAGAAGATACACCGAAATTCGGACAAGATTTTTCGGACTTTCCAGTAGGCGAGCAAGCTAAGCTTGGTCGTTCTCCTTGCCTTAGAGCCCACATTTCTGACTTAAGGACGGTAGTGCGCGGCGGATTTTCCAGACCACCCGCTGTGGATGCCGCTAGGTATCCATCCACTGCAAATAGGCCTGGAACCGTCAGCTCTTGTTTTGACGGACATTAAGTTTATCTTCCTTCGAATTCTCATGCTCATATGCTACATTCCAATAAAAGGATGCACCAAGCTAAGAAACGAGAATATAAGAAGTCGATAGGTGTTGTCCCTTAAAATTAATAATATAGGCATTTTAAACCTCCGGATATCGGATATAAGATAGGATCAAGTCCGGTCCAGTAGGCTGAACCTTTTGATTAGATATTGTGTGCGTATGTATGTACGAAACTGTCTGCATAAGCAGATTAGCCAACCACAACACATCAAAGTGGTGTGCTCCAGCCGCTTCGTCAAAAACGTGCAACTTCGAACAAGCGTCACGGCCCAGCGGAGATTCTGCTAGGCCCTCCATCCCAGATCCACCATCAGCATAACGGAACACTCCACGTCATATGGACTGGGGTAATGGATATGGATAATGCTGCACCATTATCTCGAAATGCATCATGCTGGTGAACACGTTGGACGGAAAGCCGCCCTTTTGGTTGGGGCTGCCAGGCTGAACTGCTGCAGAGGAGAAGCTTGATTCTGAAATTGCTAGGGCTAATCCTGTAAAACTGTGTTGACTTCCTCCCTAGAAAAGGATATGCAATGGGATGATCCACCAATCGAGGTCCCACTCTGCTGGCTTGAGAACTCGGCAATTGCCTGGTACATATGGCAGCATTTCAATGAGATCAGCGGATGGAAATCAGGCAGGGGCAGTGGTATTCTACATATGGGTAAATGGTTGCAATATTGACAAAAATGCCTGTGATGTTGCGAGCTTGTCGCGAAGTTTGTCGAAAGTGCATTCACTCATCATGTACTTTGACTTCCGGCCTGTCAGTTTAGGGTACCAAGTAACCGAGTTGTCACGTGATGATACAATGATTATTAATACAGACTTTACTTATTTAAGTAAGGTAAAGATAGAGAAAACCATAATTCCTCCAATTTTACTCTGACAAAATATCAAGAAGAATTTGCGGAATGCCAATTTACAGTCTCATAAGCATGAATACGGATTGGTTGCTAAGATATTGTACGACTGATCCATTGCGAGATGGAGCTAGATGCTGCTTTTTCTAGGACGTTGCTTTATGTGGATTTCCAATACTGCGATGACAGCTTCATGGATTTTATACCACTACTAAGAATAATACCACTGAAGTCAAGGCAGTTCTTTTGAGCTGCAAGAAAGTCAAGTATAGGGCGTTTAAACATGTCAATCTCGGCCTATACTTGCTGTCCGCTCTGGATACAGGACGGCCTGAACAGCTTTATGAAATCACTCTTACCGTTCAGCCCAACAATACTCAAGCAACAATTATTTACTATACACGCCGCTATGAATTATTAAATTATTAACTGGTTTTCCTTCCGAAGATTGATGTTGAAGTTTACCTATTATTGCCTTGAAGAGTCGTTGAACTTGGGCCATTTGCCACGAAGTCAAAACAAAAATGCCAAGCTTTTTCTCGGGATTATCTCCCGCCTTGGCAGGATCCATGGTGCTTTCCTGTTTGTATACGACGTTGATCAAGTCGCAACTTCTAAAGCACAAACCTATGAAGGCGAATTTTAGCTGGTCTCTTTAGCCGGGGGAGCAGCCGATCATGCGGCGGACACAATTATACCCAGAAGTGTCCAAGGAAAAGCACTTGAGGTGGGAAGCGAGGTTGAAGAGGGTACAGCGACGGGCGCAAGATGAGACCACATGCGTATAACGGACGAAAAACCGGGTCGGGTGAAACAGGGGATTCAAGAAGGGGTGCAGAGCCATATGCAGATCCGCACGGTCATGCTTCGCCTGCAGTGAGGCGGCTTCAGCGTGTACTGCGTTTATCACGCCCGTATATCCTAGCGGCAGAACAGGCAGGACGGGCTGACTTAGAGGAATCGAACGATGAGGAGGCCCAACGAGAGCAAGCTGAACGAGCGCTAGCTAAACAAGAGACAGCTGAACAAGTGCAAGAAGTGCAAACGAGTCAAGATGGACAGCAAGATGGACTGCAAGTTGGCCCAGCAATGCAACAGCCGGTTGAACAGAGGCAAGCCATTAACCCGGAAGAAGAGCAAGAAGCAGAGGTAACAGCAGAGGAAGCACAGGCTGAACAACCCGAGACACAGCCTACTGCACCACAGGCTAAGGATGAAGCAAGAGAACCAGGTGAAGCAGGCCGATCGAGACGAGGGCAAGGAAGCAGGCGAGGGCGCAGCCGGAGAGCAGCACCTGGATCCGGGGCCGGACGTGGACAAGCTACAGAGCAGCGCCCGGGAGTAATTCGGGCACGAGGGAGAGGAGTAGAGCGAGGTCGAGCTGCTGAACAACGACCTGAAGCTAATAGAGCCCGAGGAAACGGGCGACGGCGCCCACGAGGACGAGGACGAGGACAGGGGCGGGGGCGAGGTGCAAGCCCAGAGCTAGAGCAAAGGCTGGAACAACAGCCATTGGGAGAGCTGAATTCCGAGCCGTCGCTGGTACAGCCTGTCGTCAATCCGGAACCCCAATTCGAAGCCCGGGTTGAGACAGAAGCACAGGTTGAGATGGAAGCACGGGTAGTTACACCCGGACAGCCTCAGGCACGAGTTGGTGAACAACTAGTACGTGAGCAGGTGATTCAACAGGAGCTCACGAACATCCTGGCACAACAAGAGAGTCAACCAGAATTGCCACCTGTACCGGCGCCCGTACCCGCACCGGCGGAGACGATACCGTCCCAGCTAATGCATTTACGACACCTACCGGCTCCCGAGGTACGGCCCCATATGGCACACTCCCAAAGGGTACAAGCACTACTTCAGGAGCAGCAACAAGACCTTCTCCGCCAGCAACATGCGCGGCAAGCAAGGGAGGAAGAGCTGGCTCAACGGCCAGAGATTGCGAGTCATCAAGAACGTTTGCAACGGGTGCAGGTGACTTTGCGTACGAGGGAGCTGCGGATGATAGGTGAGACTCGAGAGGGACAGCCGGAACCGGAGATTCGAAGGGTGGAGTTGGCAGTGCATCAGGGCCAGGTCCGGGAAGTAGAGGAGTTGCAGGAACAGATGCAATCAATGCAAGCACAGCAGCAGCAGTTGCTTGAGATGAGAATACAGGAGGCGATGGATGAACCGCTTGAGGATCCGCAGCAACGACAACACCAAGAAGAAGATGACGGACAGCCTAATTTTCGGGAGACGCCTGTTGAAGGACAACAACAGCTGCAACCACAGCTTCCGGCGTCGAATAGAATAGAGTCTATACCGCAACCGGTATATGGTATGCCACCTAATGGGATGGCGTTTCCGAGGAGTGAGTTTGCGAGAAGGCCGGTGTCACCGCTTGTTTTTCCACCGGATGTACAGCGAGAGTTAATTCAAGCTAGCCTTGAAGACGAGGATGATGAATATGATGGCGGTGTTGCACTTGAGCAGGAGAATATGGATTGGAATGGCAACGGCAATGGCTATGGGAATACCGATGGTAATGGTAATGGCAATGGCAACGGCAATAGTTATGGGAATGGCTACAGCAATGGCTATGTGAATGGCTATGGTAATATCTATGTGAATGGCAACGGCAATGGGTATGGGAATGGCTATGTGAATGGCTACAGCAATGGCTATGTGAATGGAAATGCAGGCGGGGATGCGAATGGGAGCGAAGAGATGACTGAGACTGAGGTTAGGTTTGCGATTGAACAAGCGGTGCAGGTGCGGACGTGGGCGCAGCTCGAAGAGATCCAACAGGACCGCACGAGAAGAGAATTCCAAGGTAGCAATGGTATGGATGCCGCAGCCGCATCCAGACTACTAAGTCGGTGGTCGGGCCGACGCGTCTACCCGACGACTCAGTTTCCAGCTGTGCCAGAGTACCATCCGCACTATCGAAACGAGGGCTTCTACCCCGTGAGCCGAGGGATATCGGAAGCTCTTTCGAACGTGCGAGCGGCACGTATGGAGGAAGACGAGCACATCGTCGATGAGGAGGAGTTCGAGTACTTCAACCTGGGCTCCGGACGGAGCGAGCTACTGGTGCATGACGGGCCGGCTGGGGAGCAGGATGAGTTGACAGAAGACAACCTGCAGGTTGGGATGGTGCTTATCGCCCAGACCACGCCGGCGGAGTATGAGCACTGGAAGACTCGTCGGGATACCCATGCTACCTGGGCGGAGGTGAAGCTTGGAGAGGAGATGGCTAGGCTGAGGGTCCGGATGGAGCGGTGGGAGGCGACGGTGAGGTGGATGTGGCAGATGGCGGAGGTGTGGGAGCGAGATGGCGGGTTTGAGAAAATAGTTGAGTTTGATGCTGATGTTTTGGAAGCGATGAGATTGGATGGGGAGGCGAGTGATGACGACGAGCTAGTTGGGTTCATGGACGATTTGGATGTGAGTGTTACTACGACGGACTATGATGCAGTGTATTGTTAAGTGCTTGGTCTAGGGAACTAGATACAGGAAGACAAAGCAAGAAGTGAAAGCAGAGAGCCAACTTTTATACGCCAACGTAAAGAGTAACGGGTAACCACACGTAGGAAGTAACAAGAAGAAGAAGGAGAAGGAGGAAGAGTAGATTAATGGGTGAGGATTAATGGGTGAGCAGGTCATGTACGCTCATGCCAAGCTTACGCCTGGCGTGTGTATGTGTATGTGTGAGTGTGTGCTGTGCATGTGCATGAGGCCATATAGTGGGCGAGGTAGTTGCTGAAGCGGTGGTGGCTGAAGTCGAGGAATGCCGTCTATCGGTGTTGAGCATGAGCAGAGCAGCAGAAGCCTCTCTGTCCATGTCTACGTCGTCGTCCTGCACGGCAACGTCGTCCCCACCGGTGGGTACAAGCAGCGGTGAAGTGTTGGTAGAGGTTGCTGTGGTGGACATGCTGTAAGTCCGCGAGGCAGAGGAGGCAGTGGTTGAAGTGGTGGTAGGCCTGAGAGCAGGCGAAGGCAGGACCATGGTTATGATGTCGAATCCCGCCGAGGCGGTCTGGTGGCCCTGGCTCTGCGCCGGTGAAGGCATGGTGGAGGTGTTGGCGGTTGAAGGGTGGATATCCGGGGAGACGGAGTATGAGCTGGCCGAGTCCATCTGGATGTTTGCCGAGGGCTGCCAGCAAGGCGAGGTGGGAGTGTCATCCCGCCTGGCGGCCTTGAGGTCTCTGACGCAGCTCTCCAGGTAGTTTACATACTCAATGCTGGCCTGGAGTTATTATCTGTTAGCCGCTGTCGTGTATCTGAGACTGATAAGAGGACTGACTGACCTGGAGGATGGCGAGCTTGTGCATCTCATGGCCCCTGCAGGCGGGAATCATGTCCTTGAGCGTGGCGAACTCCTGGTTCATCTTGGACCGGCGGCGACGCTCGATCAGACTGTGAGCGGTGCGCCGGGCGATCTTGCGGCCTGCGGCGGTGGCAGCGCTGGACTTCTTCTTGGTGGTGGCAGCCGGGGCGGCATCCTGCTGGTCGGCCTCCTCGTCTCGCTTGGGCTTGACCTGGATGATCTTGCGGGTGCGCGTGGGCGGCGGCGGCAGGCTGAACTCGGGCTGTCTCTTGGAGCGTCTTGTCTCTGGCTGTTGCTGTTGCTGTTGCTGTGGTTGTTGTTGTTGCTGTTGCTGCTGTTGCTGCTGCTGCTGCTGCTGGGGCTGGTGGTGGTGGTGATGCTGGATGGCGGCGGGCGGGAGGGCGAAGTAGAGGTCGTCTGCGGCCTTGTCCATCTTGTCCATGGCGGCGATGTCGGTCGACGAGGCCGGAGTTAGCGGTAGACGCGGCTTCGGCATGGCAGTACCTGGTAGATGCCAGCAGTGATAGTAGTGGTGATGGTGATAGCAGTGATAGTAGTAGTAGTGATAGTAGTAGTGGTGGTGACAGCAGTGATGGCGAGGAGGAAGAGTCGGGTCGACGAAAAGAGGGCAGGCGGCGCTTCTTCTACTTGCGCCGCGAGTCCTCCTGGTGGTCGCGTGCTGCCAACGGTTGGCTGGCAGGACGCCTGGGGCAGGGCCAGGCACATGGACGCGGGGAGGACGCTGATTGGCTGCGGGGCGGGCGCAGGGGAGGGAGGCTAAGGTTGCCGTGGCTGAGTCAGCGGGGAAGAGGGCCGGGGTGGAGGTGGGCACGTGGGCTGCTTAGTCATGAGAAGAGGCCGGGCGGGAGGAGACGGAAGAGAAGACGCGGGAGGGAGGAAGAAGGAAGATGGTCCAGTGCTTGGTCCGCTTAGTCATCTGCCGCGCGTCTATCGCCCTCTTTCTACTGGCTAAAGACTCGCCGGAGGAGCTCCTCGCTTAGTAAGCTGTCAGGCCCGCGCTCCAGCACGCCCACGCGGTTGCCGCCCGCCCTCCACCCGCCGCGGTCGTCCTCCTGCTCCTCCGCCACGACTGCGATCTCCTCTTCGCCCTCCACCACCACCTGGTCCACCACGTCGGCGTCAACCCGCCCGACAAGCCGCCTGTCCACCACCGTCGCGCCTCGCGTCCACTGGCCCGTCGTCTCTACCCGCACGTCTCGCTCCTGCCACCGCCATGTCTCGCTCCCGCCCGTCAGCACGTACCACACGCACACGGGGTCGTGCAGGCTCATCTCCTCTTCCGCCGTCGCCGCCTCGTGCCGGGCCAGCTTGAGCTCCCGGATCGTGCTGAAGGTGTGCTCGACCACGGTGGAGACCAGCTCGGCCAGCGGGGAGCTGCGCTGCAGGTGCGGCGTGATGGCGGCGCGGAAGGCCGTCGGAGTGAAGTTCTGCGTGTGCGTCAGGTCCAGCGGTGCCATCTTCAGAGTAAGTCTCTTGTCCAGACGTCGTGGAGCGGCCATTGGCGAGGCTGCGGGCCAGGTGCGCCGTGGGTTAAGCGATGTCAGCGCCATCAGCTGGGCGGCTGCAAGGGGGTCCGCGAAGACGTTGAACTCCGCAAAGGGGGTGACCTGTATTACACTCGCTGTCAGTACTCCGTACTCTAGTAAAAAAAAAATATAGCAAATGAGAGGAAACATACATTTCCTGGCTCGTCGATGGCTCCGCCCATGATGGCCACCTCCTTGGCTCGCAGGAAAGTAGGCAGGTCCTCGGCCGCGGCCAGGGCAAGGTTTGTCAGCGGCCCCACGGCCACAATGGTAATGCTGTCTTCCTCATTCTCGCGCAGCAGGCGGAGGATCTCCAGATGAGACGGCTGGCGAGACGGTATATACAGCTTCTCGCCTTCGTCTGCGGCCTCTTCTTCTTCACTCGCAAACAGGGCCTGGTAGGTGTCGTCGGCGGAGAGATGGGGACACTAGAAAAAGGAAGCACTCTCAGCACACTCGAACAATTCCTAGAAGATTTACAGTAAATGCTACAGACACACCTTTGTATGAACGTTCCCCAGTCCATCGAAACCATGAAAGTATCCCGCGTCAACCTTGCTGCCGTCCAGAGGGCCCTCGGCGCCACAGGCAAGAATGGGCCGGCATGCCTTGAGCGCAGAGAAGGCGTGCTTCCCCGCCTCCCCGCGATGAGCGAGTTCCTTCTCAATAACGTGGAACACCGACACCGCGTTGCGGAGACACTTCTTTATCTCGATGTTGCCGAACGTCAGGGAGATGAGTGCCACTTCTAGCTCGGCCGAGGATGCGGAGAAGGACAGGAGGAGGGCCAGGATGTCATCGACGCCCTAGTTGGGTGCAGGGTGTTAGCTACATGCTGGCTAAAAGAGTGTATAAAGTGTCCATACTTACTGGGTCGGTGTCAATGATAATGCGTTTAGGCATGGTCAAGTAAGTATTTACCTGTTTAGCAGTGATGAGGATGTTGTGGATGGTTAATTATGAGAGGGGCCAATGGCTGTCTTTATTTACGCCTTATATTTAACTAATGGTTATATATACGGAGCTCCCCGACCCACCTCGGCTATTACTTTGCCGACGGTGTTTGGTTACTTTTTTGCATCTTACGTTTTTACTTTTTTCTCCCGGCATGCAAGTTGATGCATGGCAGGGTGGATGTGCTACGCTTCCAAGGCACCTGTCTGTCGTACGGCGGCAGGCCGGTGTCGGTAGTTAATTTAGGTAGAAAGAAAAGAAAGGATGAGGCTCAAGATCGAAGTTAATAGCCGGCGCTTAGCTACTTCCTTCCTGATCTGCTTTGTCAAGCCTCTTTATTTACTCCACCCAACTTCACTTGTTAATGCATGGTTTCTGTTTATGGCATACTTACATAGCTCTATTCACTTTCATTCACTGCTTCCGTCGCATCTGTGAAGGTAGACTTGAGTAACTAGATGGCCGTGGATGGAGGGAGGCAATCTAGAGCCATGGTCGAAGCAGCTATATAAACCCCCCTCATTTCGTTCTTCTTCTTCTTTCTCTCTTCGTTCTCTATACCTTTCCCCCTTCATTATCCATCCTTCATACAACAAACAGACACTCCTTTTGCCCACTTGATACTAGCACAATGTCCCGACTCATCATCCGAGTCAACCCAGACTTTCTCATAGACGGCGGCCCCGAGACCTCAGACCCCATCCAAGCAGTGGTCCGCCCCCTCTCGCACCCTGTCTTCTCCTCATCCAAGATCCGTCTCTTTGGACCCCTGGGCGCAACCATACCGCTCAGAGAGTTCCTTGTCACTCCTGACGAGGATGTCGCATCCACAACAGTCAGCCCCGAGCAACGCATGATGCAGCCTTGGCTGCCAGATCCCCGCTGCACGACGTACTATACACCGTACTTACCGCGGGATCTCACAGAGCCACAATTCAAAGTAATGGTCCAGTTCCATCGCTTCACGAGGGGTGAGGATGTGCTGCCGAACCAGCTCTCGCCGCGAGCTATACGATACATATTGTCTGCAAACAACAATTTGCCTGACCCATACTCACGCTTTAATAGGCGCACACGGCGCTGGGTATACATGGGCTGGACGCGGGCACATTTCCTGGCATTTTTCTCCATTTATCGTTCAGTCATTTTGAGCTCGACCGTTGACGGGAGTGGAATCCTAGAATTGCGGAGCTTGGGTGAATGGCTTTATGCAGCGCCCCCTGAAGCGATGGGTTGTGAGGAATGGGAGCGCTTAATTATGGAGATTGGAGGGTTGGAGAATATTTTAACGGATGAGGAGAGATGGGATGCCTGCCACACAATTGGTGTGGAGGCTGCTGGTCGTGCAGATGAGGTTGGTGATGATGACGCTGTCCCTGTTATGAGAGCGAGGAAGGAGAGGAAGAGAGGACAGAAGGATAGATTGGCTGCGTTGTTGAGGGGCGGGTAGTTTGGTGTTGTATCTTGATATGCACGCTTCTGGCTAGCGCAGCTCTTTCATTGAAATTCATTTTTATTGGTTAGATGCGGATCACTGAGTATTATCCAGTAAACGGCCCCCTCAGGCCAGGTATCCAGCCCGAGCCTGCTACTCCATTAGAGCCTAGCTGGTGCAGTGGTTGCTGCTGCTGCTGCTGCTGCTGTAGCAAAGAACCAACTGTATGACTCTCTCCATACTTGTAGGTAAGTATCGACGTCGTAGGCCCTACTCGCCCCCTAAAATCATTCAGCAGGCTATGTACGCCCCATCTACGCCCCGCGGCTTCAAGGATAGACTGGGTCTTGCCCAGGGCTTCCAACGCGCGGGCGGTGGAGTTCACACGCTTCGCCCGGTCGATGTATGGCGGTAATGGGGTTTCGCCTATATCATTTGTTGAAGGCGCTGGCGTTAAGTGTTCTGGAAGTGTCTCATTTAGTACCTCGGTATGGTAGTTCTCCAGTGTGACCATCAAGATATTTGAAACGGTGTACACCCTCTCAAAGTCAATATACGTCAATGGTAGACAGGGCGCTGATGAGTTGAGGAACGTATGGAAATCCACTAGAAAATCAACAGTATACTCAAACAACACTATCTGGTTGAATTTGCTAATTTCTGGTGCGCGTTTGGATGGAGAGAGTACCAGAATGCAGGTAAATAGTAGCTCAAGCCGGTATAGTGGTATCAGATGAGGCGGGAGGTCTGATCGGGCAGTTTCAAACCAGTCCGTCAACATGGCACAGCGCCGCCAGGAGACATTCTCGGCATCAGGTAGTATTTGTCTCCCATTAAAATACAGGTCTTGGTAGAAGCTGGATTGTCGCCGTCGTATATCGAACATCTGTGCTGCTGCTTTGATATTTTTAGGGGATATCGCATCCCCAAGGTTTATGGAGTTGGATGTTGTTGTAGTAGAAGGGAGAGGGACGTTGACTGAGTCATCTGAGAACGAATATGCTCGTCCTAATGCACTGCTGACGTATCTACATTGCATTAGTTGACATCCCCTAGAATTACGCAAAGAGTACACACCTGTCGATGGAGTAGAGGCAATAGAACGTCTTCCGTGACTGGTTCAGGGCCGTGGTGTCCATGTTGATTATCGACCGTTGTTCTTGGTGGATACCCAGGTCAGTGGCCACCCGTGCCGCCATGCCTATCAAATACCATGTCTTATAATATTTCGGTGCAAACATGGAGAACTGCGTCAGCAGCAGGATAGACTGGATACCCGCCAGTGAGCCCGGATGTAAAACGTCTTCCGCGTATTTTAACGCTGCGTAGACATGGACCAATGCTGCCTCGCAGTCTGAATCCATGTGCATTCGCGATTTCATCATCAGAGAAATGGCCAGAACCATTCGAAGGGACCAGTGGTCGAAGCTTGTCGCAAATCTGCCACTATCCTGGTAGATGTTATCCAATGAGGCCCAGAATTTGGTCTCCATAAGAAATGGCATTAACACATAGAGGTTATCAAAGTAATATTGCACAAGGCCCACAGTCTGCGCTCGGGGCGGGTATTCAGTCCGTGAGCATGGCGGAATTGAAGACAACCCCTTTGCCACTCTCAGGAGAAGTCCCGCAAAGGAGGTTGAAGATGTAATTCCATAGAAATCCCGAGACGTAGCGTTCACAGACCTGGTATTGACATTAGACATAGTCGGGACTACTCAATTCCGGACTGTGGATTGACTCACAAAAACCCAAAGTCACCGACCAAATCATCAATGTCAGATGTCTCCTTACCGTATACTCCACCAGTCGTCCCTAATGCGTCTGATGAATTCCCAGGCTGAGTGCCTCGAACTTCTGCTAGCCTGCTTTTTAAACGTTCACACTGAGCTTCCAGAGCAGCCACATAACTCCTTTCTTTCCCCTTTGCAAACTCGTCCGTAGCTCCAGAACAGCTTCGTGCCTTACCCGCTCGCTCACAGGCCGAACATGCCGGCAGCTTGCCATCGCATTTAACCTTGGATGACCGGCATCTCGAACATGCGGCAATCGGACGGCTAACCTTCAGCAACGGGGCGTCTAAGAGCGTCGTATATAGTGCATCCATCGCGCGATCCTTGTATAAAAGCCGTGTATTCGGATTTCTCAGGCGGGGGTATGGGCCTAAATTACCACCGCATATCAGGTGAGGGCTGCTGCACTGCGCGGCTGAGATTCAGTACAGAGGGATCATGATGAGATCAGTGTCATGCAGTGTCCTATTATCGTGTATTCCAGGTTCCACGCATGCCAGCAACTTATAGCATACTCGCCTACGTCCCAAGGGCTGCGCATCAACTTTGGAATCAACCTCAAGCTTTGTAACTTGACACACCCCGTAAATAAATATTGCGATAGGTAATATTGGATGGGTAGACGTCAGGCGCCGATGGATGGATGGATAGACGGGATTGGCGGGAGGCCCATGCTCATTTCGGAATATACATATTCCGACAATGTGCGGAGCCAGGACCTCATGTTGGCCCGCGCGTGAAACGCCACCGAAGACGATGGGATTGATAGAGATTTTTGCTTGAGACACAGCAGTGTAAGTCAAGGACTAGAAAGACAGCCTGGCGAGGAAAAAGTGGTACTGCTATCACCAATGTAAACACCCGTGCGAAGATAAAGAAGTTAAGCTTCGTACATGGGTGGGAAAGCCACATTTCATCATAACTACGCATACTGTGCATAGACTGTCGGGCCTCAGCCTTGAAAGGGTTAGGAGGTTTGTTTAATCCCTCCCTACTGATGCATAATTACGTGGATATTGCATCCATGGTCTCTCCTGCACCGTATCGACCGGAATTTAAAGCGATATGGCTTGTTCTGGTGTTGATACTGGGTAGAGAAATATCAACGGGGGAACTGGCTATAAGATGGCGTCTATTTATACCCTTCGCCGACATATTCATACTATATCTACTGAGTACCCTTTGCGCAAATATGGCCAAAAGCAGCTCAAATATACAGATAAGACTACTGCATATCCTAGGCCGTTCCAGCCCGGACAGGCAGTACATCCTCATTATGTGGAGGATACTGACTTCAAAGATAACATTTTGCCGTCCCGGCCCACTTGGAGATACAGCTATGCCGCCAACACTAAGAGTCTTTACATGTTCAAATCTTTGCAGGTAGTAGTTGGGGGCTCCCGGCCTGGAGGAGTCATCATTGGAAAACAGAGAAATACATCGCATATATAATGCATTTCTCGTGCTTCTGAGTTTGGAGAATATTACCCGGAATGGAAGGGAACTGTTCTGAATGCGCCGCCCCCGCCTCTGACTGAAATTTGACCAGGAAGCTGCATGGGAAGTGCAGCCTCCGAGAGCTGATAAATGAGAAGGAAGCCTAGTGGGCTATCCGAGGAGACAACATGCGAAGCGCTGGGGAGGAGTGGTAGTGCTGTCGGTCCTGTAATATGGAATTGCAGGACATATATCTCAACTTATCAGTGCTGGAGCAGTATACCACGTGTGCCACCTCGGTTAAAGCCTTGGTATGCTGGTCCGGACAGATTGACGTGGTTAATGCCCGACACAAGTGCTTATTACTTCGCAGAAGATGAAACTAGCTAACTAATCAACGAAATACAATAATTCTCAAGAACGGGTTTTAACTCTCCTAGAACCTATGCTGTCAAATATATGTAGAACGGCATTATTTGATCTAGATTTACTATCTCAGTTCGCTAATTACCTCTACTGTAGCACTCACGGATTCGAGAATTCAATAAATGCAATTTAAGCTTGTGGGTCCTTCTGCGGTGGATGGATATCGCCGCTCATTGGCTAAAACCCTTCCAAATACACGTAGTAACGCCATGTGACCAAGTTATTATGTCGTCTGAAATAAAATTCAAGGGGTACTTCGAATATTTACAGCTTTGTTTTCGAAAGATGAAAACATGAACAGAGAATCGAAAGAAGAGCAATCTCCACTCGAACTGGTAGCAGTCAAAGAAAGAGAAGCTAACTACCAGCTGGTTACTCGCGCTTGTCGATCAAAAGGCGGCCCTGCGGTGGAACACTGGCAATGTTGTACCAGTTGAACACTTCGAACTTCCCGCCCTCCAGTTCTATCCGTGAATGCTTCACTAAAGCGAGGATCCAAGTCTTCATTTCTGTCGGACTGTTAGCTTAGCACCCTCATATGTATTACCAAAGGAGAAAATCCCTACCCATTATACCCAAGAACCTCCCCGGACAAGACCACCTTCCTAGCCCGAAGGCCATATACCCTGCGCCTGCAGTTCCAGCAGACTTGCCAGTCCCAACCCACCGCAATGGGTTAAATACGTTCGGGTCTGAATAGCACTCGGGTGATCTGTTTGATAGGTATGCGACTGGGAAGACCAAATAACCTGGTGACATTTTGTCAAAATCATGGCCGGCGATCAGGCTAGTTGTACAGCATTCTCATACCTTTTGGAATTCTATACCCACCAAGCTCGACGTCCTTCATGGTCAATCTGGCAACATTAATGGTGTCTCCTTTCATTCGCATGACCTCTCGGATGAAAGAGTCGGTTTTGGCCGCTTTAGCTATGCCCGAAGAGTCAAGTATAAAGTCTCCATCGGCATGTTCCTCCTCCCGAATAATGGTTGAGATTTCGTCGTGGATAATTTTCTGGGTCTCAGGGTATAATGCCAGGTAAAAAGTAACCCAGATAATGGCGGCAACCCTAGCATTTAGTTAGCTTTCCGAATTCAGCGAAGGGTTGTTTTTGAGTGGTTACTGACGTCGTGTGGACGCTAACGAATGCAATAGTGATTATCAATACCATGATCCATATCCGTGACAGTATAGGTACGTAGCCATCTTCACCGGCATATCGACGCATGAGGTACTGTACGATAGTCTCATCCTACACAGGGAGACGGTCAGAGGCATAACCCTTGCACGCACAGAACACAACTCGCAACACACCTTTGTATCACGGGGGATGTACTTGACGGAAATATCCGCCCATAGCTCGCCAGAAAATTTCCGCCCAAAATCCCAGGGAATCCGTATGAGCATGATTCGGATCCTATCCATTGTCAATACCGTTCTCACCTTCAATGGTTGTCGGGAGAACTTGCCATGTATATGGATGCCATAGGAAAGGCAACTTTCGTGCGGCCCACGACTTGTTAGGGACCAATCCCATCAATTCTGTAATATCCTGGGACAGGGCAATGACACTATTCTGGTATTCAACATTGTTGTACTTCTGCAATAATCACTCCATCAGCTAGCTGCACCGGCCAGGGGTAATGTGCATGTAACCACGCTTACCTGACCAAGGAAGATGGTGATTGCTACTTCGGCCATGGTTGATTGCATTATGGCCCATATATCCATAGGATTTTTTTCCCGGCCGGCCTTCGTTATTTCCGAAACGACTCGTTCAAAAATTGGCCATACTATTGTCATGATCGGCATTTAGCATGATTGGAAATTGACAAAAGGAGTCACAGTTGCATACTTTTGGGAACATCCTGGTTCAATCGTCGACCCGAAAAGTCTCTCGCGATGATATCCAGGTCACGGAAAAAGGACCCTTCATGGAGGTTGATCAGCCAGTTAATACCAAGCACCTATATTTCCATCTTGTTATTATTTGACTGTCCGAAAGCGTCAACTAGAAGGAGGAGCAATACCTCCGCCATGCCATTTTCAAAACTGAAGGACTTATCCTCCGTTAGGATCCTCCGTGTAAACTGTTCTGAAACAAGGTATTCTTTCTGCATGAAAGACCCTCGTCATTAGCGGGCCTGTCGCTGTATAACAACCTGACTCGCACATAAGATATGCTGCTCTCACCCTGCCATTTCGTTTGACCATAATAACTGGGCCATGCTTTTGCAACCCTTCTGTCATCTTTTCGATGGGCGAATGCAGAAGTTCATGGTCCTTCGTAAAGGTCAAAGTCAGAAATATATGGACCAGGCATTGGATTTATTTGGCTTCTGTGGGCGCTCGACATACCGTTATAGGGACATAAGGAGGTAAGGGTAGTTTTGATGCATTCTAATGATATTGGGCTTTTGTTAACCGCGTCTTCCAACTTCCAGGGACAGAGAATAGCATTACCTTTCTAAGGATCAGGGATTTCCACAGCAGCCAGAGCGCAACGATAAATGCACTGCCTATGACGGCGAGTTCAGCCCCGGTAAACGCCATGGAGAGTTGCGCGTAAGGTAGAAGTGCCATCTCGAGCATCCTGCCGCTGGACGTCGAAGTGAGATGTTATCTAATGGGCTCTTCTCGGAGCTAAGGGCCCCTCCTCTTATAGTTATACTAACTACCGTCCCGTTGCATTGTTCTCTTCTTTGATATCGATCTAGTACTCCGTACCAGCGCGCGCCCTGGCCTATGGTTATCGCCTTCGACTGCATGAACGCTGCAGGCCCTCTCTACTCTTCCCTTCATTTCTTTTTTTTTTTTTTTCAACTATAGTTATTATTTTACTTCTTTTTTTCGGTAGCCTTAATATTTTTGAGTTCCTATTCACTTTCTTTTCCAACTTCCATAAGCGTTCTCTTCGATACAAAGAACCTGGCTATCGGGAAGGGGTTGCACTCTAAATGTCGGCTGTCATATATTGACAACAATAAGCAGCGCTTAATAGGAAAAAGCAAAGCGCCCGCATGGCCCGGTGGCTAACCTTGACTGACTACTAGCTAGCTAACTATACAAGTTAGTGACTGGCCTGGCCAATCGAGGCGGCGGAGGACAAGGCTTTCGTAGATCAATGAAAGAGAGGCATTTCTTGCTGCCACGCCGCATCGAGTTTGGGTCAAAGAGAATATATCCCTCACGCTCCGGAATAATAATGAATGGCTTAAGTGATGCGCGTTCATAAAAGAAGAAGAAGATAAAGACCTCGCATGCCACAGATTGTTCGGGCGTAGCTGCAACAAACATGAATATATTTCCTGTTCCTCGCTCGAGACTCAGGACGCCATGGCTAGCCAGCTGTATAGCAATATCTCAACGCTGAAGAGCCTCCAACATGGCCCGGCATATCTGGGGGATATACCTCTGATAGGTCTGTCCTCGCTGACGGCCTGCTATGATCGGCTGCTCTCATTCCTTCATTCTATCCTGCTGGATGTCCAGTCAGCTTACAGACAGGCCGGCGCTCTCTTTATCCTGACTTTATGAGATCATCCATCAAGAGGCGTGAATTAACTATAGCTTACTGCTTACTGACAGCTGTGATGATGTATAGAGCAGGCCATACTCTCCTATTCGCTGTCATATCAACCATATGGTACATGCGGTCCTTTGACCACAAGTTACGTGTAGACAGACGGTTCCGCCGAGCTCAGATCAGAGATGAGATTGTCGAGTCCTTGCTCGGTATACTGGGCATTGGGTTGGCGAACACCGTCTTTGGTATGCTACAGATACACGGGTATTCCCGTTTATATCACTCCATGAACGACGGACCTGGCCTGTGGTATGAAGTCATGCAGTACCCACTCGCGATGTTCCTTACCGAGACGGGGGTCTACTGGCTGCATCGCATGTTTCATCTCCCAGTGCTTTATTCCTATACCCACAAAAGCCATCATAGGTTGGTCAACCCTTTCGCCCCTCAAAGATAAGCAAAGCTGGACAGTGATACTGACGCATTGTTACATATATGTAGATTCATAATCTCGACTCCCTTCTCGGCCTTCGCATTCCATCCTGTGGAAGCGTTCATCATGAGCTTTCCCAACCTGGGAGTTCCTTTCCTGATCCCCATGTCAACCACAGCATACCTCATCCTTTTGATGTCCAGTACTGTCGAGACCATCCTCAGTCGTACGTCAAGACTTCCGAACTGTCGTGCTTTGACTACCTCGTTTTACCATGACCAAAGCTGATACTGCTTACCCATCTAGATGACAGCAGAGAAGGTTTCCACACAGTTCATCATCTTAACCCCAAGGCCAACTACGGGCAGATGCTCACCGTCTGGGACGTGGTGATGGGCACATACCAAAACCCCCTGGGTTGTTTCCGGGGAGGGCCTGTGGGGCCCCTGAGAATCACGCGAAAGAGCCGTAAATAGTTTTGGCCTTGCACATTTTTCTTTTCTTTTCTTTTCATGTTTTGCTCCCTACTGCGTGCAGGGCAGGTTTATGAGCTTTCGAAGCGTGTCGGCAGAGAGAATATTTGCAAATACATTGGTGATGCATGGGGAATAGGAGGGATTGGGACGGTTTCGGTCAACGCGGACGGCGTTTTAGGGGTGATTACGCCGTGGTAACTAATTATTGTAGTTCCTTTATTCTTGTGCATAGTTTGGTCGTCGACCTTGATGCTTGAACTGACTCGCTCGTCTGTCAAGTTACCATCAAGTTCGCAGTACATAGCGCAGAGCCAGGCAGAGCAGTAGCTATCTACCTAGTTAAGCCAATAAATAGTTATGGGGTAGTCATTATGGCTTGTTTGGAGGTAGGCCAACCTGCATAAAGCAGGACGGCAAACATAGTGAAGATGCTCTCCGCTCCACCTTCCGCTCAGGGCAACGACGGCATTGCGGGTGCCGGTGGTATTTGGTATAACGGGTGTGCGGCCGAACATAGGGGGCCGATGGTCTAAGAGGTATGATGAGCTACTCTTGTCCCTAGTGCGGAAGAATGGGCCTCCGACGGAGGACGATGTCGAGGAGCTTCCCCCCTCTTGGACCCCGTCGTCTGTGCAGCAGAGGTACCACGTGTTCCAGAGGCAACAGGAGGAGGCGAAAGGGAGAAAAAACGTAAGCGGCGTTCTTGATGTATCCACCCGCAAGTAGTGCAATATATGAAGGCGTCGTTTGCCTGATTAATTTTCGCGGCCTGTCTTTGTAGTTAGTTAGCTGGTGTGCATCCCATCCATGTCTCCAACCCGCGTCTCGGCGGTTAAAGAACGGACTGCCAAGACCTCCTTGCCCCACAGCCAGCTTAGTAAGGCCTGCCCCGGAACCCGCTGAGACCCTCGAGGCTGCGACCGCCGTCGTGACCACTGACTGATACTGATACCATGGCCGGGTCCGGGAGCTCTTGTCGGAGGTACTCACTCGGGTCGGTATCGATAGAGGTCTCGCAAAAAGGGCTTCTTAAATAGCAAGCTTGCGGGCTTAGCTTGCCGCACGCCGTGCCCTGACTTGGACACGTACGAAAAAATCATGCCCAAGCACTATTCGGCCCATCTATTTGCTAATAACGTGATTACCTCCTGATCCGGAGGAAGACTTGACGGATCCGGGGCTGTTGAACGAGGAAATAACACTCTGCGGATTTTGATATCAGGTAATGGGTATCCTCTCGCATACCTCGGGCTTGAAAAGGAATGCGAGCGGAAGAGTTGGCAATTGTGCGAAGGGTTTTGAGAAGCCGAAGGACAGTTAGCAGCCTGCTTCGCTCAGATGTCAAGTTATTTGCCGCCACCAGTAGCTATATGACAAGGCGACTAATAAAGATAAAGCCACAGCGATTGTTTAGGTCGAAAGATCATTACCTAGGACAGAAAAGAATTGGCCTAGATCAAACCTGTTCCGCTCTCGTACGGTAAGAGCCTAACGATAGGTAGGAGGCTAGGTAGTGTATCCTTGGACTCCAAGTTTGGATGGCTCAAGACCAAACATCTTCTCGACTTCTTGGTTTATTCTGTGCTCATATCCTCAATGCCGGACGAAATGATTGGTTCCAACTTAAGACTGTAGGCAACATCATTTGCCTGTCCGTTGAGTTTAGGCCTATAACTCGAGCGGTTCGAGAAGTAACTCCATATACGGAAAAATGAGAGTCTATTCCGCAAATAACTTATCAGTCCAAACTGTATCGGGGGCCACTTTATACAGAGTACCTGTTTACTAGTTACTGACAGACAGCAGCTTATTTTAGAACCCGCCTGAATCAGTGTACGCTGAGATTCCAAGTGTGTTTTACTCCTTAAAAGGGCCTGAAACAACCGAGGCATGGTGGCTTGGTGGGATTTGAGATGTGGCACGACGATCATCGCAGCAGCTTAAGTAAGTTACCCCTGAATAACCACAGACAGACTGAGTAAATTTAACCAAGGAATGCTCTCTATAAACTCGCTGTATTATAACTAACTGTCAACAGGGCCGACAGCAAGGAAAGCAACAGGTGGTATCATCGTGTTAGCTTGCCGATATATCGTTGGTCAAACGGTAACTAGCTAGCTTGCTAGCTTCTTAGTTAGCACCCCTGGCGGCCTTGCATCCCGCGGCCGGGGAACAAAGCTGATGCCGGCAACTCTCCAGCCCCCGGGTTTGATCGACTCTGCAGAGAACCCTGCAGATACGGGATCGGGATTTGCTCTCGGCCACCTACAAGTCCCGAGATCTCGAGCCCGAGTAGCTTGGTAGACCAACTTGTGCGATCTGATGGGCTTGATACTATGTCGAACCCACCTTTCGCTATTTGGTCCTGCTTGTCTATCTGGAGCACCGTTTCGGGATCAGTTTCCGGGCCAGATCGATGGGCGTTATTGGCCGGCTCAGTGTTTCGACCCTTCAGGCCCAAACTGTCAAGAAGATATGACGGTCGATCGCTGTCCTGCAGCAATCACCTCATGGCGGCGAGGGTCCGTTGGTGGCTTGCTGGTAGCATCCCTGTCCTGCATGAATATATATATTTGAGCATTGCACCCCTTCCTGGTCTGTCGCAGATCCAAGAGGAACAAGTTTACCAGGCTGGACAGAAACAATTGCCAAAATGCAGCTGTCTCTGATCACCCTCTGCACCATTGGCATTGGAGCCACGGCTGTACAGGCAGCTTTGGCTCCCAACAGCACATGGCCTGTACAGTCCTATAACAGCACCAACATTCGTGCTTCTGTCCTTGAGACTACCAAGATGGGCGAGACAGATCCCGGATATATCTTTGTTACCCCTTGGAACGGCCACCGCAGTGGGCACCCGTCGATCTACAGGGACGATGGCCAGCTCGTTTGGCAGGGGCCCGAGGGAACTATCTTCGGTTTTCGACCGCAGAACTTGAGTAACAATCCAATGCTCGTTTTCTGGGAAGGCGACTTTACGGGCACGGGTTATGGCCATGGTTCTGTCAATCTTTTGAACAGCTCTTATCAACTCGTGCACAAGGTCACTCTTACCGAAGGATACTTCAATACGGGACTGGATCACGAGGTTGAATCTCACATCGACTATCACGAAGGAATCGTTGAAAATGACAAGAAAGCTCTCCTCGTGGCCGCTACAAACATCACTCAGGCTGATCTTCGGTCCGTGGGAGGTCCAGAGCAGGGCTGGGTCATTGATGGATTGATTTACGACATTGATATCGAGACGAATAAGGTCCTCTTCCGCTGGAGTGCCGTGGAACACATCGACCAGATCCCATTCAAGCTATCCCAGAGTCCGCTGTTGGATACTGGCACCTCTGAGAAAAACCCTTGGGACTTCTTCCGTGTATCCTCCACTGTCAGATATGGGGATGATTACCTTATCTCCTGGGACTATGGATGCAGTATCCTGCACATTGCTCGCAACGGTTCGGTTGCTTGGAACCTTAATGTAAGCGGCTTTTCCGTCTCCATCTAACTACTGTAATACAATTTGATGCCAACAGACAGCTAATGCGGGGTACTAGGGCATAACTGGGGGTGACTTCAAAATGGGACCCAATTCGAACTTTTGCTTCCAGTACGGCCTACGTCTAGGAATGCATACAGATGAGAAGATCACCATCTCGATGCACAACAATGACAACTCGGAATTTAGCAATACAAACAACCCTACCACCGGACTTATCTTGGACCTTGACCTTCAAAAGATGGAAGTCGTTGGACAGCGAAGAATGTGGAACCACGAACATCCTGTCGTTTCAAGGGACCTGGGGAGCTTCCAGTACCTAGGTACTGGCCATTGCATCGTACATCATGGTCAAATTCCGCTTATCGAAGAGTATAACAAAGAAGATGAGCTTGTCATGCAAATCCGCTATGGACATGATTTGGTTGATGCCTCTTATCGAGTCCATCGAGTTCCCTGGACCGGAATGCCTATAACAAAACCGAGTGTCAAGGCATGTCGCAAGGCGGATAAAGATATAGTGGTATATGTGAGCTGGAATGGCTCAACCGACATTGAATCATGGAAGGTTTTCGAGGTGTCTGAGGGTAGCATGCCAAAGGAGATTAAAGATGAGGCGTGGACCGGATTTGAAACTACAATACAGGCGCAGAGTGAAGCTAAGAAGGTTCTGGTTGCTGCGGTTGGCGGGTATGGTGATGGGGTAGAATCTGACCCTGTTACCGTGGATGAATGCTGATCTAGCCACTTGATTTCATCTTCGCTTTGACTTTGGATTCCCGTGCAGAACTGATCATAATGAACGGCCTATTGTCTATACTTTGACGTTATATCGTTGGCACTATCTGTATATATTGAGTTATTGAATTTTCTCACCAACTCGCACTATTCGGTTAAAAACCCATCTATGCAGGTAGAAGTTGATTGATATTAACAATACCGCGCTTTCCTGCCTTCATGTATTACTACGAAATGAAGTACGGTTCGTGAGCGCTTTAGCTGAACTGATATACTACAACAATAGCACATTAAAATTGGGTGCCGTTGAGACAATGGTATATAACCAGGCTCTGGTACTGCTCATATGTACGCTATTCCTGGTAACAATTGGGGATTGAATTGTCCAGGGAGACCAAGTCCGTAGGATGGTCTAGGAACGATATGAGGTGAATCAACATAGACTAGTTAGTTACTTAACTAGTTAGTTAACCAGTAATCAACAAAAATTATGCCCAGCTAGGATGTGATACTCAAATATTGTGGTATCAATTTGGTATTTGTCTGATTTCACGAAATACCACTTGATACGGATTAAGTAACTAGCGAACTAGTTACTAGCTAGGCGATAATCCAATAAACATTCGGCATAGCAAGATAACTAGTTAAATTAACCAATAATAATTTAGTACTCATGGTACTCGTTTGGTTTCATTATAAGTTAACTAGTTCATGGACCAATGGAAGAAGCACAATAACTAGTTATTTTAGTGTATTCAAGCTTTTGCCCTCAGACATCCAGGGCTGACGACCAGAGATATGCAGACATCGAGTCTACCTAGGGTGCAGACAAGGCCCATAAACTTCTCTTCATACCTTCATATCCTCCTCCCTGTTGCTGCCTAGTTAAATACAATACAAAGGCATTTTATTTTGGACGCATGGATCTTGATAAGGGAGTTAACGCGTAGCCACTGGCTGCCATGCCTAGTTACAAATGACCCGCGAAATGGAAGCCAGACAGAGATATTCAAGAACAGAAACCTGACGTCCCGGAGCTGACGTGGGGTACTATCCGGTATGCATGGTGCTACCAGCGAAGGATCTAAGGATCTTCTCTTGGCCAGTCAGGATTGAAACTCCGACATGCATAACTACCAGCCTTCAGCACGAGCAGTCTGCTGACATTTATATTACTGGATCCCGGACTGTCTCTCTCTTTAACTCGCTGGTTGCCTCTCTGACGTCTTGTCGCTTTCGAAACTGTCATCTAGCCAGGATAACTGATCAAGATGGCCTCTTCCAGCCCAGTGACCCTAATTGAGGAGCCCCAATGGAAATGGATTATTCCGCTTATTGTCACAGTCATTGCAATATATGTGAGGGGAAACTAACTGTTTGGTTACCACGCCGGTTTATAACCACTTGAAGGTACCCAAGAACTTAACGATTCCTCGGCTGACCATCTGAATGCATCTAGATTCCTCTGGTTGCGGCGTACCGTCTGACGCTACATCCTCTTGCGAAATATCCTGGGCCGCTCTGGAATAAGCTATCTGACTGGCCATTTTTCTTCGAAGTGATAGGCGGTGACCATCATCTGGAATGTTTAAGGCAGCATGAAATCTATGGTATACTGAATACGTTATTCGGATGAAAAAGAAAAAAAAATCTAACTAGATTCTCGAACGTTATAGGTCCAATCGTGCGTACCGGTCCTAATAAGCTGTCAATCAACAGTGCATCCGCTATGCGACAGATATACCAACGCAATGCAAACGTGCAAAGAAGCGACTGGTATCTGACCCTATACGCTTCTACTTCATATGCACATAACGTCCACTCTGAGATCAACAAGAAAAAACACAGCTTCCGACGCCGTGTGATGGGGCATGCATTCTCAGATGCTGCTCTAAGGTCTTCAGAAGAGTTCATCATTGAAAACATCAAAATATGCTGTGACCAATTGAGCAAGACGGCCACGTCTCCCGAGAAATGGGGAACTCCTCAGAATATGGACTACTGGTGTACATACCTTAGCTACGACATCATGGGAGATTTGGTATTCAATACGAAGTTCAACTGTCTTGTAAGCGAGGAAAGCAGATATGTTCCCGCTCTGCTCATTGCAGCCACGCAATTTCTATACAATGTTAGTCGAAGCCAATTGGCCCCTGTTGTCACAGAGTATTTCAACTAACTATATTCCTTCTAGCTCGGTTATCTGCCATTTGCAAAGTTTGTTCGACCTTTACTCGGAACCAAAATAATGGAAATCCTGGGTGGAAACTTGGCACGGGATGGAAAGCGTTATAACGAGTACTGTGCCGAGCAGATGAGCAAGCGTCTTCAGTCTACTGACGTGAACGATCCTCGTTACCCTAAAAAGGATCTAATGCATTATTTAATCGATGCAAAGGACCCAGAAACTGGACAGGGGCTTACACGTGCAGAACTAGCTGCTGAGTCTAATCTTCTGATAGCAGCAGGATCTGATACAACATCTACGGCCCTATCTGGCGCTATTTTCTACCTTATTCACAATCCGGAATGCTTAGAGAAAACAAAGGCTGAGATTCAATCCACCTTCAGTACCGTTGAAGAAATCCGAGGTGGCAGCAAGCTCAATAGCCTTACTTACTTGCGGGCAGTTATTGATGAATCCCTGAGACTTAGTCCCTCGATACCAAGCAATTTGATGGTAGAAGTATTACCGGGAGGGATCACTGTCGATGGAAATCACATCCCTGAAGGGACGACGCTTGGTGTCTCACCGTATGTCCTTCATCACAACACACAATATTTTCAGGATCCTTTTGTTTTTCGGCCTGAACGGTGGATTGGAACTGACAAATCATGCTTGGTGGTCTCTGAGGACAATAAAAGCACAATTGAAGACGCTGCCAATGCACGGTATGCCTTTTTCGCATTTAGTGCAGGCTCCCGAGGCTGCTTGGGAAAGAATTTAGCTTATTTGGAACTTCTGATGACACTCGCAACACTCATCTTCAAGTTTGATATGCGGAGTCCTCCAGATGATGACGGGCAAAACGATACTGGGACAACTCATGGAAGGCATCCAGGTCGATGTAGAAAAGACGAATATCAGTTAAAGGATCATTTTGTGCCGGAGAAGCAAGGGCCAATGGTCCAGTTTAGGGAGAGGGCCTATAAGGTTCGGCCTGTGGGTGGTGTCTGAGGACACCGGATTCAAGTCAATGCGGGGACCCATCTACAATACGCAAATTTGCTCAATGATATGGAAACAGAGTATCTTTCAATACACTCCGTTAGCCGAAGTGTGTTCTCTGTTTATGTAACTCTTTTGGTTACGATACAACTGAGACATTTATGCAAGCCTTTATAGGATATAGGAACTATACATTCTGAGAAATTGTCAAAACCCCTGATTGACGGGCTGGAGAGTTCACAGCTCTTCTTTATCATTGTGCAGCCTGCCGAGATGTCCACTGAACACAGGCATCCTAGTTCTACCTTTGGTTGCGAGGTAACTGTCATTTTCAGACACTTATGCATGATGCATATACTCACAATACTTCTCATGTCCTAGCCCATGCAGCCATTTTGGGTCGAATGTCATCCTCACGTGCTTGTTTCTCACTGTGGCTGCATAAATATTGGTATGCAAGAGTCGAGTGCGCAAAAAATTCTACCAGCGGTCATTCAAAGTAAGGTTGGAATTTATGGAGTACAGGAACTCGATGCTGCTCATCCACTTTGCCCATGAACCATATTGGGTATTCATGCTGCCACCAGCAGCATTCAATAAGCCTAGAGCTTACGAGATTCGATCCGCTCAGTCCTCCCTCGGATTTTCCAGATTGATACCCGGAAAATACTTGGCCTCCATGCAGTTCCAATTCCTATCTGGTGCTCATGTTTGGTGGATAGATTGATCAAGTAACACCAGGTCTGCCGGTTTCCCTGATATCAATATCTAACTTATTTTCCCCCAGTTTGCGCCTTTGGAGTCTATCTGCTTTCAGATGTTAGCTCTTTCTTCATGTGCCACAGGTTTCGGATAATCCTCCCGTACCGCTGATCGTGGAAAAGTGATCCCGCCTTTGGTCAGGCATCGTTCTCCGACTGCACTTTTCCAGGGAGATCACTTTACCCTTCCCTCACGCGATATGTTCATGTCATTTTAGAGCTGATCGCACGAGTTGCATGTCAAACTTGTGAAATCTTTAGTGGCCGTCCCGGCTGATGGTGTAACGCATCCGTTTATTTATATTAACCGGTGGTGCATTGTACTACCCTAATGATTACGTCTACCGAGGGTATCATGGAAGAGGATGTGCAACCAACACTCTGTACAGAACCTCAGAGGTCATGGCGTATGAGCTAGGTAAGTGCTCTAAATGTCTCATGCATTTTGCCTAACGAATAAGTGGTTTCAACCAAAGGATTGCCCGTGATACTGGCTTTGATGCACCATTCATACCATCTATGACTTTGAAAATATTCGCCAGTGCAAAAACAATCTCTATGGACTCGGTCATTTAACATGGTCACCAACCAACGGGATCCTTTGATCGGGATGTCAGAAAGTTAACCACAAAAACACAGGCGATCCTTGACCTGGCGATGCCTTTGCTGTTGCTCGACCGGGGGCTTGTCCAATTCCCTTAATCTCTCCCAGCGCCACCTCCATAAGCAGGATACGCGGACCATCTACACCCCTTCCAGGCAAAACGCTTATGCTTGGTCTGCTGGATAGCTTCCAGCTATGATTATATATTCCTGGCAGCATCTCTATATAAGTATGCCTAGAAACTGTCAATTGATATTTGGCATATCTATGACTGCGCTGCCCCGTGCCGGTATCTACACACATGTATAACCCACATGTTCATACTATTGCACATGCTTCACTGCTGGCAGATATAGTATGTGGCAGGTGAGTGGTGACGCCAGTGACGTTCTTGATACCCAGATGATTGGATTATATCCGATATATCTCCTACAATTTGCCCGAAAGAGTTACATCAACAAGTTCTACATGAGTTCGATACCGCGTTCATGCTAATGTATTTTGGTGCTGCTGTCCGACAAGGTCACTTGGTCCACCATGGTGAGCTGGCTATAGACTGGCTTGTGGTCCCTAAAAAGACATAAAGAATCTGTGGTATCCTATAATATGACTCTATCGGGCTCATACGGTTTGCTCTGAACTACGTTCGCGGCAGCCACCCAGTTAAGGTATCATCAATGGGGCATGGGGTGCGACACTTGTGATGAAGGCTAATGTCAAGTACCGGTGATTATGTTTCAGCATACCATAAGGGACCAACAGGGGCGTCAAGAATCACTATATAAGTCCTGAAGTTGGCCCTTTATATCTAAGTAAAAAATCATATTTTTTTCACACCATCAATTGAGTAGCAACTGTAACGTACATGACCATGGGTTTTTTCCGCCATTTGTTTTCACTTTCTCTTTGTGCCTTGTCACTGGCCATTCCCTCTAAGTTAATTGGTCTTGAGAACACCCAGGATGTCATCCCCAACTCCTACATTGTTGTGATGAAGAGTACCATTTCAGAGGCCGAATTTCAAACCCACCAGGCATGGGCATCCAAAATACACCGCCGTAATTTGGGCGAGCGAGATGAAACGTTGGGCGGGCTGGATGGTCTCAAAACAACCTTCGAGTTCGAGGGACTCAAGGGATATAGTGGCGCTTTCGACAAAAGGACGATTGAATTGATCAGTAGAAATCCAGCTGTATGTGGCTAATTGACCCAATCAGCCTTGCGTGTGCTTACGTCTGACTATATCAACCAAACAGGTCGACTATGTTGAAGTAGACCGTGTGGTTAAACTAGATGCCATCACCACTCAACGCAACGCACCATCCTGGGGACTTGGACGAATCTCACATAAGAGTGCTGGTAGCTCTGACTTTGTGTTCGATGACAGCGCCGGGAGTGGTATCACTATCTATGGTGTTGACACCGGCATTGATATCAAGCATCCTGAATTTGGTGGCCGTGCAACCTGGGGAACTAACACCGTTGACAATGAAGATACGGACCAGAATGGCCATGGAACTCATACTGCTGGAACATTTGCAGGCGCAACATATGGAATCGCTAAGAAAGCCAACGTCATCGCTGTTAAGGTGCTTAACGCCCAGGGAACTGGGTCTACTAGTGGTGTTATCCAAGGTATCCAGTGGTGTACCGACCATGCTGGTAGGAATGGTTTGAAAGGCAAGGCAGCCATGAACCTGAGTCTGGGTATCCGTGGTTCGACTGTTTTCAATCGCGTTGCAGAAGCAGCTCAACAGTCCGGTATTTTTCTAGCTGTGGCGGCAGGGAATGACGGGGTAAGCATATCCTCCTTGTTCGTTTCCTCTTGTCGAGGCATATCAGGAGGCTAAGATACTTGAAAGACCGATGCAGCACAGTTCTCTCCAGCATCTGCTAGAGGTGTCTGCACTGCTGCTGCCACCAATTCCCAAGATGCGGCAACATCCTGGTCCAACTATGGATCTGTTGGTATGTCCATTTCCCTTCAAAAGGCCCAGTAAAAGGGCCTTCTGTAGGCTCAAGAGGGCTTACATCCTTCATGTATAGTCGCAGTATATGGTCCCGGAGCCGATATAATTTCAGCATATCCGAATGAAGACACAGCAACTCTATCCGGTACCTCGATGGCGTCTCCTCACGTCTGTGGAGTTGGGGCATATTTGATGGCACTGGAGGGAATTGGACCTGATAAGGTCTGTGACCGCATCAAGGAACTTGCGGTGGAGAGCGTTACGAACCAAAAGCTCAACACAACCAGGAAATTGCTCTATAATGGCAGCGGCGCCTAAATCCATTACCAAGCCAGCGATGCTGAGCCGGCTGACGGGCGTAGGAACGAATCTTCTTACTTTCCTGCTAAGTCACTAGGATGGTGCATGCAAGCTTGCTGTGACATTTCACAGTATATTTTTGGGCTCTTGGAGGAAATGCTTGGGTTATCATGTGGGTTAGGAGTAACTACTCCGTAACTAGTGGATGCGGTGTTTAGACCACACGTAGTTAATGAATTGAGGGTTCACGGCGTATCTCTGATTTGACTCAACTGGTAGAAAAGGGGGTCCTTCAATCTGAACCAGCTGGTCTCGCTTTTGTGTAGTTACCAAGGTCATAATGAAATATCTGGACGTCTATCCCCACCAACTGCAACGCTACCACGAAAACCGCTTGGCTGGGAAACAACGTGAATATTGTGATGTTATCATTACTTTAAGTACGTACACGGCCGCGGGCGATGGGTAGCAGCTCTTTGAGCCGTCAGCTCCCCCAGAGGAGAAACTCGAGCTGCCTGAAATAGTCAGGATTACAAGCTATTTTACTATTTAAAAGAAGTGGGGATAGCTTACCTAGGGCCTTTAAGTACTTTTAACAGCATCTAAAGGCCTAGAGGAGCATTGTGGTAGGAGATAAATTTATTCAGAATGGCCATCTTGTATGGGAAAATATGTGCTTGTTGTGCCTGTAATGTTCGTTGAGCTGGCAGACTCAGCCTACAGCAGGTTAAGTTTCGAGACTCCATACAAATATACTTTAATATATTCTTAGGCCATAATCTAACCCTAATTTGGCTTCCATGCGATAGTTATAAGCAAGTCTTGGCACACGTCACTCCCTCCAGCAGCTTTGCTCAGTCCCTTAATGAATGTCCTCTACTTTCAACACCACAGTTCTGCTTCTCGAGAAACACATATTAGTTACATGAGACAAGGAACATTACCGTAATTAGTAAGAGGACATAGCGTTGTAGAAATTTTCACTCTTCTGGTCATTTTCCTTCTGTCAAAACGAAAATGGACAGCATCACAAAGTCCGAGCCGTCAGGGCGCTTGCTTAGAAGCCAGGGACCTCTACCAGCCGCCCAAAAATTATTCAATATCATCCGTCAAAATATCCTCGACGCCTACGAATTCAAAGACCTATCATTTCAGAATATCCCAGCTGCTACTGGTGAATTAGTGACCACTTCTCTTAGCGAGGACGAAGACGTGGAAAACGCGTGTCCACGGTTAGTGTTTCTCTACAAATCTCGGTTATGGCTAGTTTTTAATACCTATGACAGTATAAACTACAACTCATACACTCAAACTCTTGACATTAGGGTCAAGCCAACATTTATCCATGATGCGCATCAGTCATGGCTAGTAATTGAGATGTCGCGCATGGTTTCAACGGGTTTTGTAACCCAAGCAGAATTTGACTCGGTTTCCTTTCTAGTCGGAACCAGTATGCACCTCCATCCTAACCTTGGCTTTACAATATTGATAATTGAGTAATAGCATTTCGAGGCTTTCAAAAGTGCTACGCCAATTCCTCTAAAGAACCCGACACTTGTCTGCTCCCAAGCAGCCAGCATCTTCCAAGCACTGTTATTGAAACGGGTTGGACAGAGTCGTGGTCAAAGCTTAATAGAGATAAGGACCTCTGGCTACAAGGCGGCTGTCCCGAAGTTCTGCTAGTCTTCTTAATTACGTGGTCAAAAATTACCAACAATAGAGTGAAAGGCATCATCGAAGTTCACCAAAGAGATGGTGGTGGGACAAAGCTGCTGCAAATAGAGGTACCACGATCCAATGCTATCCACACATTTCTGTTTATTTGTTTATTGAGGAATATCTAATTTCGAAGTAGGATATCTTTCCACGCCCACCTACCTCATCTACACAGTCTATCCCTATATCCCGTCAACAATTTCTTGGATCGAACCTACAAGCACGGGGTAATGCTGCCCAGATATATGAGCTATCAGTGGATCGTTTTCGGGTAAAGGCTGAGGGATTCGTAAGAGGCAAAGGTTTGACCCCAGCTTAATCACGCAGTGGAGAAGTTGCCGTTGGTATTGCCTCGGGTCCAAACAAGATATTTCCCCAATACTGCTGGGGATGACTGCAATATTTGAAGGAAAAGAAGCTTGCTTCGCCTCCTCGAGAGTCACCATCTGGGAGGAATCACGCCCGAGCGGTTTGACATCCACGAGGAGGGCCTTCGATTCGTCTTGGCCGTCCTTGGGGTATCTGCTAGCACTCATAGGCCCAAGAGGTCCCTGTGGTGGCTGCCGGGATTCCACTCGTTATTATAAGTAACGACTGAAGAGGGAGCTATGGACGCCTGCAAGGTGAGGCTTTTATTATACAACCTGGCACATTGAAATCTACGTCTATTACTCCAAATGGAGAGAATAATCAGCTGAGATTGTAATTTGTGTGCCCTATAGTTACCAAGGGAAGGTTGCAGTGCTTCGTTTTGCGATTCTGATCCAGGGAACGAAAACTGAAAGTACTATAGCCTCATGAGCGACCTATAGAGCGTGAAGCCTGGCACGAGGAGCCGAGAGTCCTGTGTAGCTAGCACCTCCCTTGCATATCTCCCTTGGTTGAGCCTGGACCAAGTTTCGTAGCTTGGGTTGTTCTTCAGCTCTCCGGGAATAAGTATCTGCGACTAGGCGTACTTCATAACTTCATCGGGTTCTTCATCGCGGACTGCTTTCAATAAGGGAAGAAGGCGTGTGGCATCGTATTCAGTTGCGATCGCTGAGTTGAGCCGTGAAACATCAGTGTAAAGCGTTCCAGATCCTCTAGTACAAGGTATTTTGCGACAGGCCGGGAGGGTTTTTCAGGGAGTTATGAGAAAAATCCAGTACTCTGTTTTGTTGTCGTCCGGTTCATCTCCATCAGCCTGGCAGGAGCTCCAGCACTTCAGAAAGACATGCATCGTACAAGTCCTCAAAGCGCATCTCAACTCTTACTGACTGAGTGTTGAATGAAGATGTTGAATGAAGATGTTGAATGAAGTTGTCCCACCTAGCCGAAGAGTCAGTCACGTGTAGATATCCAACTTACTAAGCAAGTGGATTATATAATTAAGTACTCCGTAAGTACGTAAGCAACTATGTATACTTACTTATTAAGTAAGTGAGTACAGGCTGGGGAATGCGGGGTTGACCAGGGGCCACTGTTATTTTGCCTGCGACAACTAAAATCCCGGGCTTTTTTGACTGCAACGCTGGCCCACCTCGGCTAGTAGTTAAGGACTTCCTTACATCAACCTCCGGACTGAAAGCCTCAGCAGGGGGTCGCAGCCAACGAAGCGAACGACAGGGCGTCCCTTGGCCGTCCAGGGCGGCTGGCTCGAGTTGGAGGTGACCAACTAAATTCTCCGGGACGCCGTTCCAGAAATTAAGAAGATTTCAGGAGTCGGAGGGGTGGAACTCTCAAACAGACCCTTCAAAGGCTTGATGTATCGCGCTTGAGGACAGGTCCAGCACATCAATCAGCGAAAGAAAAAGGCACAGCTTAAAATAGTCTTGACATGCCTATATATGCCACTTTGAAACAATTTCCAGAACCTTGCAGGGTGGACACGACTCTCATGCCATGTTGGCTTCTCTGGTTTGATTACGGTTGTTTATCTGTGGAGTCAGCCAGCGATCGGCACGGCGGTCTTTTCAAACGACCCGTGATGGATGTTCATGACGCCCCATCTCGTACTCTTCCACTCAGGCGTGTTTTGCGTGAGGTTGCGCTTGTTTGCATGTGTGGTCGACAAGTGACGTCTTGTCATGCCCATTACTGCAAGCTCAGTTGCGCGCGGCCTTGCCGTATGCCGTGATCGTCATACAGGCTCTGATATCGTAACCACCTTGTGAAGAACGCCCTAAGACAATCTGGTAACTATATGGGACAGAACGGCTGGCTGCGGCAGAGGCCATCTTGTTCCTGGTCCTGCTTCTCGCGTCATGAACCTGCCCAGTTGCTGAGATTACCCGAAGTAGCCACCCCGATTGTGAGGGTGAGCGCTTCATATGCCTCTCTATAACCAGTACTGGTTAAGAGTGCTACCCGTCTATTGGGTAGTTTTAAGGATATTGTGTCAGGTTGTTAGGGGCTCTGTGCCTCCTGAGGTCGAGCCACAACACAGCACCCGTGTTTGACATGAATGGCAACACCATGTGGGTGCTGCCTTTACGCTTCATAATGTGGTCAAAACTTAAGTGTACGGAGTACTCTCTGGCCCATTATTATTGTTATTTCAGTCTCTCAGACAGCCTTCTCCACCCCGGAGGGAGAGGAACTTAATTCACCACGGCTGATGTTCTTTTTTTCCCGCTGATCGGCAAATTTGAAGCATGCGTGTTGCTATAAGTACTGGGCTTCGTTCCATCACGTCTGCTGAGGTTAGGCAGCAGTAAACCTCAGACACTGGTGTCTGGCTTCTTCCGGCAGTTGTATTCCCCCTTTTATTCCCTGGATATCCAATTCCTCCCACTCTCGCAACAATGCAGTCCCTTTTGTTGCTTGCCACGCTTCTAGGCTCTGCACTGGGCGGTGCCATTCCTTCCCAGAGCGCAAACTATAATGGATACAAAGTCATGCGCGTGTCTGGAGATGATACCAGCAAGATCTCGCACATTGTTTCCAAGCTGGGCCTGGAGACCTGGAAATTCCCCAAGGCCGCTAACGCTAATGTCGACATCGTCGTTCCCCCCAAGAAGGTAGCCGAGTTTGAGAAGATGTCACACGCTGCTGGCCTCAAGAAACAAGTCATGCATGAGAACCTAGGGGACTCTATTAAGTCCGAGATGTCCTTCCGTCCTTATTCCTGTGAGTTGCTTACCCTGGGTATGTCGGGTCATATTACCTGGCTCAATTACTTACGTTGAGTTTTCGCAGATGGTGGCGCCAACGATACTTGGTTCCAGTCTTACCACAAGTACGAGGATCACTTGAAGTTCATGCAGGACTTTCAAAGTGCTCATTCTCAGAATTCTGAGATCGTTACGTCTGGAAAGTCGCAT